TGTTTTAACACCTACCTGAGTATTGCTGATGCTCGTGTCTGTCCCTTTAAATGTGCACTCAAATGCCACCAGTCACCAGATCTCAATCCAGTCGAGCACCTTTGGTGGTCCAATCCAGTGCTACCAAGGTGTACCTAACAAAGTGCCCAGTGAGTGTATATACAGAACTTTATTAAGACTGTTTTTCTCATACGTCCTCTAGCATTTCCTGAAACTCTCCACTTTTACTTCCATGATGACTTCCATAGTCTGTAATTTTCAGGAGAGCCTATGATTAGCCTCTGTGTGCATGTGCGCACGCAGATAGATGTCTTTACAAGTTCGTGCGTACCTGTGTGTGTTTATGCGTCAGCATGTCGGACACTGTGCTTAAAGTTAAAAAGACAAGTTGGTCAGTAATTAAAAGTTAAGAACAGAGTTCCTGCCTTGCTGTCACTCACTCACTCGTGTACTTTCTTTACAAAAAAAACCAACAAAAAAAACGCCTGTTAGCCAAAATGAAGCCTGTGGCTGATTCTAAGCTGAGTACATCATCATCGGGAATTCAAGTATTGGTGTTTTTCAACATGCAAAGACAATCAGAGGATGTATCCAGCTGTGATAGTGTTGTTTTTTTAAAGAAAATCCATTTGTATCAGAGTGCTATTCTTCGTTCTGCCCTGGATATCCACTAGGCTAATAGATAAAAGCTCCAACTGCTGTAATGTGACTATTTTCTCTTTTAGGAGGTAGTATCCCCCTGAGAGAACCTGCTAATCCCTTCTCACACGCACACACACCTGTGATTTCAACAAACACTACGCTGAATAACAGCACTGCTCTTTCACTTGAGTTTTACGTGGAAAAAGAGACGAGAAACACGAGACAGAAATGGGTGTGTCTACTTATTCTATTCCCACTACAGAGATCTAAATCTCATTGCAGTGACATTTTGGGAAATCACATTTCTGTGTAAATACTCAGTTAGGTAAGGGTTACCTTAGCAAGAAGAAGTAGTGTTTATGGTTAGGACAGGTCTCCAGGAAACCCACCAGCACACGTCTGAGTGCGGGTGGGTGTGCCCAGTTCTGTTCTCACAATACTCCATATGTATTTTCCGTGTCTTAGTGAAAATAATACTCTTTTACACATCTCTGAGTCACACGCACTGTATATATATTTGAGCTTCCATTGCTCAGTGATGATGATGGTGGTGGTTTTCCCTTAGACTGAGCGCTCTGTTGTGGCTTTCCTCACTCTTAGTCCTCTAATCACGTACTCGGGTTTGTCCCAGAATGGAGGCCAATCCCGAGCACACGCACACACAAGCGTGCACACCCTTAATTTACAACCACCTCTAAAAGCAGCATCATGTTCAGCATGTGCACACATACATTTGCTTCCAAACATACAAGACCGAGTGTCCTTACCATGCGTACCACTAACTATGTGTTTTAAAGGATGCACTGTATATGTAGAGGGAAAAGGTGGAGTCTGCTATTTTGGGAGTTTTGTGCCAGTTTATAATACAACTTTCAATGGCAAAACTTTTGTTTTTCAAAATAACTGAATGGAAAAATCCTTTCAGTAACTTCTCTGATCTGTCGCCTTCTGTTTCTTACTCTTAGATAAACAACAAGTCCTGTGGCATGGTGACCGTCCCTGTGCAGGTGTCCAAAGATACCAGTCGGGTACAGCAGCTGGTTCTGGAGAGCCCCGTCGGACAGAAGTTTCTGAGCGAACGCAGCATAAAGAGAGCCATCCTGTCTCCCAGGACTGCTCTCATCAACTTCCTTGTTGATGAGTGACACTGGATTGTTCACCACTGCTTTTGAGACAGACAAAAGAGGTGGACTTTTTAAAAATCTATTTAAGAAAACATAAAAGGCTGAACGTCAGTTCAGATAAAAATTCAATGATATCAATGTAAATATCTATATAGACATTTTATTTATATGTTTTCTATTTTAATAAAAGAGCAACTGCAGGTTTCCAGTCTCTTTAATGCAGCACCTATCTTTTCTAAATCAGACTCCCAATTATTCAGGACCTCACCTCCACCCAAAGACCACTTGAGATTCCAGTCATTGTTCACATTCTCTACCTTAGGCATCGCACTCAGAGCTTCACACTTCTCAATCTACCAATGCACGTCTCAGCCAAGTCATGCAGCTGTGCCTTATCAGCACTTGTGTGCACCTCCGAGCCTGTTTCTGGGCTGCACAGACATAGACTGCCATTTGGCTACTGGATGTGGCGCTGCGTGAACCCTGGCCAGCTGGAGTTAACTGAAGGGCCTCACGCGGTCAGGGGATTTTTAACCTTGCCACCGCATCATTTGTTCTGTCCCTCATGGCCAACTGTGCCTATTCATGGGTTCTGTGTCTTGATGTTAGACCAACATGACTCAGCCCTTAGCGCTGTCCTGGCAGAGCGCACACACCAGAGGCACTGAAATGTATCTGTGAACACGCCTACTGGCCTATCTGGAATGAGTATGAGTAAGCAGTCACTTGATATGTAAAACAATTTCCCCCTCGTCAAGTTATTGTGCCCACACCTCCGATTAGTTGAGTTTTTTAAAGCTATATGGGTAATAGCTAAGGACATGCTTTTAATTTGATAGGAATCATATTGGCCAGCTTGCAGCTGATAAAATCATGGCTTGCTGTATATATTGTTTTTAGTTACTCATGCTGAAATTTTAAAATGTGCAGATGCACAAAAAAAAATGTTTCTTACTGACCCCCTCAATCCTTTTCCTATATTTTGGTGCTTTATCTCTCAGCATCAGGTGACAGGAAGAGGCTCACAAGAGAGACAGAATAACAGGAAGTGAAACCAGGAATCAGAGGAGGGGAGTAAAGAACTTTAACTCTGTTCGTTGTTTTTCTCATTGTCTTAGATTTACACAATGGCTTGATGCCGTCGCAACCCAAAACAAAGCGAGACAAAGAAACGGAGGCATTTACCTTCTCTGTGCTCATCTCTGTATCACACATTCAAACTGTCTGTTTTAAAATAGGCATTACAACCAGAAGGAGTTTGTTTTTAAACCCCTGATCTCTTCCTTTTTTGCAGCTCTTTTCACACCTTCATTTACTTTTCTCACGGGTAACAGCAGCTAATAAGCATGTCTGAACTTCAGGTGGCCTCAAAAATGGTCCCTGAGTTGCTGTTTCATTAAAGAGAGCAACAGTGTAACTGTTGTTTAGAGCAGTCTGAGTGACATGATAGAAAATCCTTCCTGGACTAAAGTTAGCCCCTTTGAATAAATTTGATCTGAACTGCAGTGATGCATTCATTTTGTCACTTTCAGCTCATGGCATCATTTAACACTTTTTATCATCTCTGCAGTTTCCATGACGACGAGGATCATTGAAAAGGCAACAATAATCCACTGTGACTCACTTTCTCTTCAGATCGCAGCCATACCCTTTCTTACACAAGACATGTACAGCATGGGTTGTCTTTGATGAGATGAACTAAATCACTCCTCTGCCTCTTGAGAAATTCTGCTGTTGAGGCGGATGAGGGTGGAGCACACAGCGGCGCAGTCCCGGTCACCCTCCATTGCAGCAGTCGAGTCCCTGGACTGGGGCTGTGTGTTCCCACAGGGGGACGTTGTAATGCCACAGCTCATTATCTTGCAGGATGACCTCAAGGCTGGAAAAGTAGTCATCTGTGGGTACTCTTTGCTTACACAATGAGCTCACACAGTTTCATTAGTTCCTTAATTGTATTTAAAATGAAACTCTTGGGTAGTGTGTGATTATACACTTAACTGCCACACCTTAATTTATTAATTTGCAATACTGTGCAAAAGTTTTAAGTCACCTTTCATTTACTTATATTTTAAATTGAAAATGGGTGCAGTGATTTACTGAAAGATGTTAGAAAATAGATTGAAATGGAGTATGTAGGGCAAAAACTGAGTTGGTACCATTCTGATGAGTGTGAAAGACGATACTTAGTATGGTCGTCTTTATTCTTCAACACAACCTAAACTCTCTTGCCGTTCTTTAAGTAGTCTTCAGGAATCGTTCTACAGGTTTCTTGAAGGACATTCAAAGCTCTTTGGATGTTTGCTGCTTTTTTTCTGTTCTCTATCAGGATGATCTCACACTGCTTCAATAATGTTGCGATCCAGGGTTCTGGGGCGACCAGTCCATGGCTGATGGGGTTCCACTGTGTGTTTTTCTATCTAGATACGCTTTTACTGCACTGGAAGTGTTTGGGATTATTATCGAGCTAAAAAATGAAACCATGGCCAATCAGTTGCTTTCCATGTGGTATTCCATGGTGGATCAAAATCTTATGATACTTTCTGCATTCATAATTCCATTTTGACAAGATTCCCAACACAGTTGGCTGAAATCCAGCCCCAAAACCAGGACACTTTGACAAGCCCACTGTGTTTTACAGACTCTCGGTTGCACATCTGCCATGAGCTCCTCGCTACATACTGATGACAATTTGAACCACAATTTTCAAATTTGGATTCATCACTCCATCAGACCTGTTGTCACTGATTTTTCAGGCCAGTTCTTGAGTAATTTGGGATACCTCAGCCTTTTCATCTTGTTCCCCTTCCTTAAGAATTGCTTCCTGACAGCCACCCTTCCACTGAGACCATTTCTGATGAAATTTCAGTGAACAGTCGATGAATCAACTGAAGGGTCAGTTGTTTGTTAAGGACATAATTTTTAAATTCAGTTCATCTGCTGTAGATAGTTTGCTTGAATGATTTCACAGGTCAGTATTGAGTGGCTTAAACAAACAAAACAAAAAGAAAACATTCATCTGAAAAAGGTCAGGTACAAGGACTGGACTAAAAATGAAAAGACTTTTAGAAAGCCTGGAGAAATACTGCTCAAGACCACTTAAAAAATGACACAGTCTGGCTGCTTGGAAGCAAAATGTAAAGAAATAAGGAGTGGTTTAAGACAATCCACTCTAGATTATGTTTGTCTTTTGTGAATTTAATATATTTACTGTGCCGGCTATATCCCTCTCTGTGCAGAGGAACACTTTCTAAGGCGTTTTGTTTTGTGTTGAAAGGAACCATGTATAATCTTAGTACAAACACCGATGTCCTCACTGTAAAGCCATCCAAGGCTGTATCATAAAGCATTGGCCAGTGTTCATTCTTCCTTTGCTGTTCTTTCATCCATCGTTACATGCAGGTTTTTCAAACACATTCCACCTATTGCCATCTAACCAGTCAAACTGTTGTGTCTTGTCACGTAGAGTTGTTACTGCTAATGCTTCAAAGTAAAAGCCAACAATTTCACAAACTGCATCTGCTTTTATGGAAGTGTTAATGCCTTACAACAACAAAAAGAGTTCCGAGCATTAGTTTAAGAATATATGGCATTATCTGCTGTGCAGAGTTCATTAACTGCTACATTTTCATTGCTTGTTTACAAAATGCCTTGTCAGATATCCTTATAAAAGAGTAACACCAGAGCTTTGGATTCCTGGAAATAATAGTAGTTAGTGCTACTAACTGTCCCCTCTAAGATCTGATGTAACCATGAACATGTAGGAAGTCTGAAACCTGGCTTTTTTTGTTTGTTTGTTTATATCCTATTTTTCTCTTTTAATGAGGCTCTAATGACACAATTACCATAACGGGTGAAATTAAATGAGCTCATGTTTTCCAGAGTTATTGTCACCACATGCTTGGATTTTCCCCATCGATATTTAGCAAAGTAAATGCAGAACACAGCAACACCAATATTATGGATGGCACACAGATAATATTCAAAATATATAGTTTTTAATTTAAGTCAGTCTGGAGATATAATTTTGTCACTTTTATGATGCTTTCTCAAATGTTTAGTTTATTACGTTTTATACAAGACATCCACGGTTCAAATCCAGGACACTCACTGCAATTTCATGTCAGAGTGCCATGCTAACAACATTTTGGATATAAAAATTTGGACATATTCATTAATGTCCCACACTGCATGCTGCAACTGCATCTTCATTTGAAATAAATAATATTTTATAACTTTGTGGATGCTGCTCAATTTATTTAAGCAATAACACATTTGAGCAGCTGCTCTGGTTTGTCCTTTTTCCCCTTCTTTACAGCAATAGTGCTCCCAGCTGTTCTGATGAATGTGTTTAAGGGGTAAGTAAAGCAAGTTAGGCCTCCTGCTTAAAGGTGGGGGGGAGATTGCATTACAGTGACTGTTTCTTCAGGCTAAACCTTTTACTTTTATTATGCCACCAGGCTTCATATATATATATGTATTTTTTTCCACAATATCTGTGGCTGTCAGACAATATAAGCACACTCAGGCTTTATGTAGGACACATAAAATATTTTCTGTCTACACATTATGAGTTTGTCCTGCTGTACCCCAACTCTGCCTCAAATATTCCAGACGGGTCAGGACACAATCCAAAGGGGTTACACTGTGTGTGTGTGTGTGTGTGTGTGTGTGTGTGTGTGTGTGTGTTTTGCATGAACAGGAATGTGTGATGTCATTCAGCCATAAACAGACAGGCCTGTTAATACCCAAACCACATAAAAACACACCCATGCAGTAGTTACTGTACAGCTTTATGAATATTAAATTACACAGATTGTTATGAGAAGTGGGACTTGTTTAAACAGTTGTGTCAGGGGGTATACTTTATTTACTTTTTAAATCTTATTTTACCAATGATGTTTAATAACGAGTAACACGTTACTTTAAGTAATTTCAAGTTCCAGCTTCTGCCTTCTTTTATTTCCATATGCAAATTGTCTTCATTTTTTTTCTACCCTCAACAGTGAACCCGTTATTGTCAGGATTGTAATTGCACCCTGTTGCCTGTTTAAATAAAGGCAACAATAACACACGTCCTTCCTTGGAAATGTGAAGTTATTAATAACGGTATAAAATGTAAAAATAAATTTTAAAAAATGTCCAGTTTAAGAACAATAAAACAATGAAAATAAAAGTTAGTATTTGTTAGGGAAGTGGAATG